CATCGAAAATCAACTAGACTTAATAAATAAATTTGGCAAAGTAGCAGGATACAAAATTAATGTCAAGAAATCGATGGCATTCTTATACACCAATGAACTCACAGAAAGAAAAACCAAAAAAAAAATCCCTTTTACCATCGCGGAAAAAAAAATTAAGATACCTAGTAATAAACTTAACCAAAGAAGTAAAGGACCTATTTGCAGAAAACTATAGGACATTGAAAAAAGAAATAGAGGAAGATATAAAAAAGTGGAAGCATATACCATGTTCATGGATTGGAAGAATTAACATCATTAAAATGTCCATATTACCCAAAGCAATCTATAGATTCCATGCAATACCCATCAAAATACCAACAACATATTTCATAAAACTAGAACAAATAGTTCAAAAGTTCATATGGAACCAAAAAGGCGCCAAATAGCCACAGCAATTTTGAAAAAAAAAGGACAAAGTAGGTGGGATCACAATACTAGATATCAGGTGATACTACAAAGTGACTGTAATCAAAACAGCCTGGTACTGGCACAAGAACAGGCATATAGACCAGTGGAACAGAATAGAGAACACTGAAATGAACCCAAGGAAATATGCTCAATTAATATTTGACAAAGGTGGCAAGAGCATACAGTGGAGTAAAAACAGCCTCTTTAATAAATGGTTTTGGGAAAATTGGACAGCTACCTGCAAAAAAAAAAAAAAAAAATGAAACTAGACCATCAACTTACACCATACACAAAAATAAACTCAAAATGGATAAAAGACTTAAATGTGACCTGTTAATCCATAAAAATTCTAGAAGTAAATGTAGGCAACAAAATTTCGGACATCATACGCAGCATAATTTTTACTGATACATCACCTAAGGCAACAGAAACAAAGGAAAAAATGAGCACATGGGACTACATCAAACTAAAAAGTTTCTGCACAGCAAAAGAAACAACCATCAAAATGGAAAGGCAACCCACTCTATGGGAGAACATCATTGCCAATGATACATCAGATAAGGGGTTAATTTCCAAAGTATATAGAGTACTCATACAACTCAACAAAAGGAAGACAAAGAACCCAATTAAAAATGGGCAGAGGAGCTAAAAATAGACACCTCTCCAAACAGGACATACAAATGGCCAAGAGACATATGAAGAAATGCTCAACATCACTAATCATCAGAGAGATGCAAATTAAAACAACAATGAGGTATCACCTCACACCTGTCAGAATGGCCGCCATCAACAAATCATCAAACAGCAAGTGTTGGCAAGTGTGTGGAGAAAAGGGGACTCTAGTACACTGCTGTGGGAATGCAGACTGGTGCAGCCACTATGGAAAACAATATGGTGTTAACCTCAAAAAATTAAAAAGTGAACTTCCATTTGACCCAGTGATCCTGCTTCTGGGAATATACCCTAAGAAGCCTGAAACACCAATCAGAAAGAATATATGTACCCCCATGTTCGTAGCAGCACTATTTACAATAGCTAAGATCTGGAAACAGCCCAAGTGTCCATCAGTAGACGAATGGATAAAAAAGCAGTGGTACATATACACAATGGAGTACTATGCAGCTGTAAGAAAGAAAGAGCTCTTATCCTTTGAGATGGCATGGAGGGACCTGGAAAATATTATCCTAAGTAAAACAAGCCAAGCAGAAAAAGAGAAATATCACATGATCTCACTTATATATGGAATATAATGAACGTAACAGTCTGAGGAATAGGGTAGACCCAGAAACATGGAAGTAGGGTACAGACTGACAACCCTCAGAAGAGGGGGTGGGAAGAGATAAACCACAGAACTTATATGCATGTATGCATAACCAATGGACATGGACAACAAAGCCGGGGATGGGGTGGGGGGATGGGGAGTAGGCTGTCAATGGGGTAATAAAGGAGAAACATCTGTAACAAAAATAAAATTTTTAAAAAAAGAACAATGAAAAAAAAGTCACTTTTAAGGGTTATATTTGCTGTGTTTGAGTGCTGTTTTTCAAAAATCAGTGTCTCAGTTGGCATTTGGAGATGCTGTGCTGGAATTTGGTGATAATTTTCAGAAAAGACTAAAGCTTTGATCTTCAATTTTTTGGTTAGATATAATAGCTAAAGCCACAGAACAGAGAAATTCCCCCAGAGTGTGTGTTTAAAGAAACCAGAGACAGCTTGAAAGAGCACTTACCAAGAACGCAAGAGGAGAAAGAGAGAAAGAGAAACCAGTATGTATGTGTGTGTAGGAAAGAAGGGGTGACAGAGACAGAGAAAAGGAGACAGAGATATGGAGACAGAGACAAGAGACAGGGAGACGACAGAGAAAGAAAGAGAACAGATTATCACTGAACTTGAAGTAGGAAGAACGCAACAGTACAGGAGGTCAAAGAGCATGCCTGACTTGGGGACTGGTCAGTTTCAGACTTCTCTGGTATAATAAAAATGTTTATGAAGGGCAAACTTGATCTGCAGAGAGTTACACATCTTTCATTTGGAAAAAAATTGAAATATTATGTTCCTGTAAGAAATTTATTCTGCATAATCTATCTTTGATATTCTTTTTTAAAGCATCTGCTTCCCTCATGGTAAAAGTTTGGAACGGCCTCATACCTGCAAACTGACTTTTTAAATAATAAATTTGGTCATAGTCATCTAAATTTCATTTCCACTTGTGACAAATTGCAAAGGAATGCATTAAAGGATTTATCTGTCCAAAGTTTCCTTCTTATGTGACAGGAGCAAAGAAGACATTTTTAATCAATTCAACTTTTCCTAGCAAAGGACAATATAATCTGGTTAACTTCCATATCCATGAGAGGCACAGGGCTTTGTGGACGGAGGTAGAGGTTTATGAGCATGAAACTGAGAACAATTAGCACTCAAATTAATGTTACATAAGATTCAACATCTGGTAAGCGTTTCGTCATTTTGGGTCATAGACCACCTGCTGCTTAAATGTTCACACAACTGCAATATACTCTGCATACAAATGGAATAAGAATGATACTTTAAAGAATATTTTTTTTCTAAATTTAACCATGTATATAGGGACCGCTCACATTTTAAAACTTTGACTAGAAGTTAATAATGAATTAAACACTCATGAGATGAAATGTATAGGGTCAAAATAAATAGAAAATACTTCTATTTTTGCAAGCATATTTTATAATAAATTAAATATAATGCTAGCATTAGTTTCACTCATTTATTTAATCACTGCCACTATTAGTATTGGTCTCCTCTTTATCCACCAAATGTTTACGAGCAGATGTCAACCTCTCAAAGGCTTTGTGTTACTTATACAATAGAGTCAAACATCTGCATGTTCCTGGCAACAGAGCTGCACCAGAAAATGCTAAATCTCAAGATGCTTCCTGCAACCCACTACAAACACGAGTCCATACACAATACACCCTAATCTGTTCTGAACTCCAGGACTCAGGGACCTCCAAGATCACTTCAGTGTAGGCCTAAACAACTTGGAGATGTCTTTTCTGAGCTGAATCCTTTCTGGTATTGACAGGAAACTTTGGGGTATCTGAGATCCAGAGACTTCTATGTCAACAAGCTAGATATACTCTAGGGGGTCAGAGGAGCCCGAAAGCCTATTCACATCCACTCAGGGGACCTCTGGACATCCAGAGTTACCCGGGAAGCCAAGACCCTCCTCATAGGACAACCCCAGACATTACCAACAGCATGGTCAGGCAGTCCTGGGGCCTTCTAAGTTGGGGAGCAAAACCAGATGGAAAAGCATAACCAGGGAATAGCTCTAATTTTATTGGTTTCAAATATTGGGCTTCTCAGTAAATCTGAGTTTGAACAAAGGGTTTTACAGCTAAAGAAGGGTAGGTGGGTAGGGTAAATAAAACACTCATGGTGTACTGTGTCTAATTTTTTAAAAGAAATATTGCAGATAAATTGTGAAGGTTCTATTTGAACCATTACCATTTGAGTTCTGATTTGACATTAAAAATTGACCTTTAACCAAATTAAAATAGAAGGATATTTGGAATTTCATAGTTTCCCCTTTTTGGCAGTGTTAAGTAGGGAGGGCTCATTAACCTCTCTATTCATTATCCTTCATTTGAGAAGTCTTTTACAATAAACCAAAGTCTTATTACTCAGAATGAAAATGAATTAAGTGAATCTGTGTTCCAAGACTCTATGGCTTACATTTGTCCCTGTCCCAAAAGTAATCTAGAGCCAAGGAAGATGAAAGCAGAGAGCAATGGTTAGGCCTGCGGTCTCTGGAATCAGACTGCCCAGGTGTGAATCCTGCTCTGTCCACTTAACAGGCTGTGTTCTTAGGCAAGTCACTTCCTATCTGTGTACCTCCACTTCCTATTTGTAAAATGGGGACAATGTCATGAATTTTGTAAAGTTTTCAAGAGGATTTAAAAAGACAATGCACACAAAATCCTTAGAACTCGGGAAGATAGAGTAAGTACTCAGGAAATATTAGCTGTTATGGTCATTAAGAACTGAGTCTATTTTAGAACCATTTTCATGACACTTGAATTTCCAAGTCACCTTACGAAAGACAGTACGTTTATCATTTTCAAATTTCCTTCCACAACAGGGCATGATGATAAATAAATTAATTAGCCTTATATTTTAATTCTCACTTGGTAATTTCTTCTTTCCTTCTATGTAACATTATTTCCTTACATCTCAAACTATGAACATAAAAATAGATCAAATTCTCTTGAAAAGAGTCACAGAGGTAAATATTAAGGCGCAAGCTTGTCCTGAATTTTTATTATTTTGAATGTGGGGAAAGAGGACCATTCCTGTGCCTTGTGTAAGTTTATACTTTCAGAAAAATGTAAATAATGAAATATAATCTTGATATATCAGCTGTTTGACCTTTTGATGCATGCATGCCTTTACTTTGTGTCTTTAATGTTTGTACTCCTTTTTTCCAAGTACAACTCCTGAAATCTAGAAAAAAAACACCCTGAAAACAATAACAATATAACAAAGTCTTTAGTTCTCTTTCTGTTGTATTTCAGATCTTCAAGGATTCCATGTGTTGCCTCAGACAGTTGATTGGTCATCTTTTCCTCCCCAACAATACCTCTTGATTCTTGGGTTCAGACACAAAGAAGACGGAAAATTTTTGGAAAAAGTATCAAGGAGGAAGCTGCCAACATTTATAGGTAAATCACCTGGACTTATTATCTTTCAACATAATCATAAGGCAGGATTTGTACCTTATTCAAGCCTTATTCATCAAAAGGCCTAGCATATAGTAGGAACCCAGAAATATTTGTTGGGTTGTAATTAATTCCTTCCAATCTTCTCTGTGTGTTCGTTAACAATACCTGGAATTCTGGTTCCGGGAAAGCTTCCCCAAGACCAGACACAGTCCTAGAGTGCCAGCTCCCCACTCAGCCATTTCACTCAGCCACACTATCAATGTCTATTCACAGGGCACTCAAAAAATACAAGTTTTGTTTTGTTTTGATCCTCACCCGAGGACATTTTTCCATTTTTGGTCAGCTAGAGTGGGAGGGAGAGAGAGAGAGGGAGAGAGAGAGAGAGAGAGAGAGAGAGAAACATTGACGTGAAAGGGACACATCGAGTGGCTGCCACCTGCACGACCCAACCAGGGCCGGGGACAAACTGCAACTGAGGTACGTGCCCTTAGCGGGAACCGAACCCGGGTCTCTCTGGACCGCAGGCCAACGCTCTAACCACTGAGCCAAACCGGCCAGGGCAAAAAATACAAGTTTTATCATCAATTAGCAAATGTAGAAAACAATTATACACAGAACTACATAATCATTCTGTTGAAATGAAATGAAAAATACAGCCAGTGACCATCTTAAATCACTTTAATTACCTGCTATTATATTAATATCTGTTCCACTCTTTTCTTACGCAGTTAACCAAGAGCTTAGATCTCCAGAAGAGTATTATAATTAAGTGGTGTTCAGTAATTCTAGTTGAAACTTTCAATAAAATCAAGAAATATTCACAGGGAGTTGAAGTCTCAAACTTGTGGATAAATTCATGACCAAGTTGAATTTATTCCTTCAGCTCTACACACATAATTAAGCATTTGTGTTTTGTCCGGTGCTGTGTCCTCTGAGGCTTATCTCAACTTCGAGCTACAAAGTCAATGGGATCTGCACACTTGGTAATACCTGGAAGAAACAAGACAAGAATCAGACACAGTCATGACAACATTTTTTCACAACTCAGGAAGAACATACTCAGCAGAGAGAGGCGAATTGTTATGGGCTGCCTCCCAGATCTCCCCGTCAGGACCATGACAAAACGAATAAATGATGGTCCCTAAGAGGCAACGTCTCCTCACCTTCCTCCTCGTAGATCTTCATTGTTATGCATGTGGTCGAGGGATGGGACTGGTTTCGATATTAAAGATTTCTTATCTATTAACATTGGGATATCTGTTTATAGCTTGCTAAAAAAAAGCATTTTGAAATGGAAGTCTGGAGAAAAAGTATAAAGTTTATTGTTACAATTTTTAGAACACAAAACTCCCTTCAGTCCACTGACGAGAGAAGATACAGTGAGGCAGATGGAGACAATGGGGAAACGAGTCTTGCCAATATTGGATTTTATTAGAAGCACCCAGTTGAATGTAGGTATATGAGATTTTTCTATTTGTCCAATGTACGATATTAAACAATTCTAGAATTATGGAAAGCTTATGGTGCAAATATTGCAAGCATTAAGGATTTTAGAAATTTTCACAGTAAATCTCATTTACAAAACCAACCTAAGTTTAGCTAATGATTGTATTCCTTTTATATTTAAAAATAGTTTACAACACTATGCTTTGCAATTTAAAGCATTTATTAGGTAATGCCTCCTTAAAGAGTCTCTTCTTGTGCCTTCCTGATACCTGCTTTAAGGCCGCAGTGAATTTCTCTTTTCAACTGAATAACAACATTGTAGCAAACACAGTATTTTCCCTAATTCATATATTGGGCTATTGCATGTAACCATCTTGTTACCTACACAAGAATTCAGCCAGCACTACACTAATACACTCAGGGCGACTCAACATTGCCAATTGCTCTTGGTATACCCTTAATGTAAATTATATAACCCCTTTCTCTGATGCAAACAAAATATGCCTTGTAATTTTCAGTCTTAAAAAACAAAAACAAAATAAGACCTGCATTATGCTGTGCTATTTTATAAAATATGAACTATAAAGGGAACATATCATTAACCGGCCATAAGGCTGCAGATTCCCCCTTTTTTAATTTTGTTTTATTTAATTAATTTATTTTGGTTACAGATGTTTGTCTTTTTTCCCCCATTGACACCCTCCTCCCGTTTCAGCCCTCCACCCAGCATTGTTATCTATATCTATTGATTATGCTTATACGCGTAAGTTCTTCAGTTTATCTCTTCCCTCCCCCCACAAACCGCCCCCTCCTCTGAGGTTTCTCAGTCTGAATCCTACTGCTATGTTTCTGGGCTCCTTTTTAATATAGTCATTTTCCCTGTCCATCCACAGTTTACCTAAGGTCAACCGTGATCAGAAAATGTTAAATGGAACATTCCAGAAATACCTCACTCCCTGTCATCTTACAGGCATTGTACCATCTCACATCATTACAAGAAGGCTGAGTGCAATGCTGTAAGATACTATGAGAGAGATACATTCACATAATTTTTATCACCACATGTTGTTACGATTGTTCTATTTTATTATTGGTTATTGTTATTAATCTCTTACTGTGCCAAATTCATAAATTAAACGTTATTATAGGTATGCATGTATGGGGGGAAGAACAGTTTATATGGGATTTAATACTGTCCGTGTGGTTTCACTGGGGTTCTTGGAATTATCCTCCTGAGGATAAAGAGGGACTACCGTATTTTTCAAAAGGCCTGTAGGCTGGCAATTTTAAAGACTTTTCCTTTTGTGAATTTTGTATCACATTATCGATGTGATGTTCTTACCTAACAAGGGGAGCCAATGGGGTCAACACATACAGCAACTTAACATCTTTTCAGCAGTTTATCTGCTCAATAACATTATTCAGCATTTTTAAAAAGCTATAAAATCTCTAATATATGTGTATGATTTGTAATTCTATGCATTACAATACAAAATCACAGTTTTGCTGATTTTCCGAGCTCCCCTGACTGTGTCACACCCAATTATCTTCCCTCTATTTCTGTTAATAAGGACTTCATCTCTGTCTTAGTCATCTCGACTGTTATAACAAAATACCACAGCCTCGGTGGCTTAAACAGAAATTTATTGTCTCACAGTTCCAGAGACTAGAAATCCAAGACCAGGTGCCAGCACGGTCAGGTTCTGATGAAGGCCCTCTTCCTGGTTGGGAGGTGGCTGCTTTTTTGCTGTCCTCACACGGCAGAGGGCAAGCCCTGTGAAATCTCTTCTTATAAGAGCCATACTCCCATCATAAGGACCCCCAACCCCATGACCTCATCTAATGACCTCCCCAAAGCCCCATCTTCAAATACCAACACACTGGGGGATATGGCTTCAACATATGAATTGTGGGTGGACACAAACATTCAGCTTATAGCACTCTCACTGGCTGCACTATGAATGTTGTGTCCTGTTCTCCAATTCGCCCTCTATCACAATCTCCTCCAGACACACACACACACACACACACACACACACACACACTTACCAACCTCTCTATCTAGAGACCCACACACATCATCACTGTCATCATCAGCCCCTGCAAGCAGTGACAGTTTTGCTAGCAAGAACCATCACCAGGTAGCACGATCTCACCTCATCCACACACGGTCAGCCTGGTAGAGCCAGTGTGCTGCATGTTGTGGAGGTGATCTGTGTGTGCCCTGGCCTTTTGGAGAGACACCTGCCATGCTTGTTACTTGACAGGAAAACAACCACATCATCTCTTTCCAACTCAGATCTCACAGTGTGTTGTGAATGCTGGTGGGACCTATGTAAGCATTGGGCACTTTTTAAATGTTCTTAATTCATTTTCTTCTCACCTTTAAAAGGACATTCTAGCTACTTGGAAATTTATATATGCATGTGTCTGTAATGGAAATTCTAAAACCATACAGTAATTAAGATTCTTAGCATCTAATTAATAACTCAATCTTTTAAAAAATGAATCAGCACCACTTTGCTAGCTGCAAGGCATTTTTACTTTCCTATGTTTGCTTCTATGAAAAATAATAGTTTTGAAAGATTGTCTCAAAGGGTTTTAATAGAATTGAAATGATTGATCCCAAAGGTACCCTGGGACCACAAGTGTATTCAAATATCTGTCTCTGGGTTTCTTATTATATGGCCAGCCCCAGCTTTATAAAGCAGAACTGGATAACACTGGCTGCAAAGGTAACCTAGTTTAATGGAGCAAGTAGTGAGTTGGTGAGTAGAAATTATTCCTACATGGTATCATTAACTGCGACTCAAGCAGCCCTGAACAGTGTTTTGAAGATCCCCTGAGGTCTGTCTTCTTCTCGTCAGACATCAAACACCATCCACTCAAATGCTTAGACATCACATTGTCCTTATTGCCCGTTACCTTAGTTTGTGAGACCTGTACATGAAGACTTTAGTCCAAAGCTGAGCTCTGGCTGTGTAACCCCAGGGCAAGTCACTAATCTCTCAGCTGCTTTTTCTCATACTTATGGGCCCACTTCACAGAGTTGTTGTGAGACCAAAAGTACGTAATCCATGTTGAAGCACTTTGTAAAGTATTATAAATTTTAGAAGTTTTAATTACTTGTATTGGTTTTAGTTTGCTTCAAAAAAGGACCATTTTATACACCTTTCTTTTTCTTTATACAAACTGTGGGCTTTGAAATGACATATTCTTCTAAAATGAAGATTGTGCAAGTGGCCTGTGGATTTTTTTTTTTTTTCTTGCATCACTGATGTGCTCATTGTCACAAAGTTGAGGGACTTTTGTGCTCTATGTCATAACGGCGGGGTTCGAGTTCTCATCTCCAGCCATGGGGCAGATCTATCCCCATAGTAGGGCTTCCCAGGGAACATGAATTTCCACCTCTTGCCATGGAGTGGTAGACGTAGTTGCTGAAGAAGACCAGGGACAATCTGGTACGAGGAAGGTTTCTGTGTCTCAGGCAATGCTTCTCCTTACATTCTGACATGACTTTTCTTTTCTTTATAGATTTCTTTGCTAGGCACACAACACATGACCAAACAAGAATGATTCTGGTGGCCGGAGAGATATCATCTAAAATACTGTACTGTCTGCCTATCTGGTGTCTTTTCATCCCAAAGAACATCAACCCCGTTCAACCAGTAACCCTGCTTTAATGGCGGTTTTGCTTCTCTGAATCTTTGTCCTAATTATTTCACATGCTATCAGATGCCCTTGTGCTTTTTCAGTCATTAACTTTATTGGCGGCTGTCCTTTTCAAACCTTATGTACTGTGTTTCCTGGACTAAATGTTAAAGAGTCAAAATAATAAAATATCTTGCATGAAGCCTCCTTCGCAGGCTGACTTGCCAAAAAAATGACTTAACTAACCATGATTTTAATACCTCATTCATTTTACTTTTAATTCCCCCGAGTGAAGCATAAAAAATGTTTACTTATGCACATTTTAAATGAACAATAATATGTGTTTCTTACTCCTCTTTTTTTTTTTTTTTGCAATTCATGTTTCTATATGTTGAGTCAAGTGGAATTATATTCCAAATACTTGGGCCGTGCTTTTCAGCATTATTTTATATAGTGCCACATATTTGCCAAATATTAACCGTACCTGCTATTACATGTTGGCAATTCTAACTGCAGGCTACATTCGGACTTGCTATCTACCTAAGCTTCATTGTACCTGTGTGAGGTTTTAGCTTCAATCATCACCACTTTAGAACTCTCTCCGGCAGCTAAGGAGCCCTTTGGTCACTCCTGAAGTCTCATGGGAAGGCCACTTCTTGTTAGATTTAGCTCTTGCTAGCATTAGATGTTTAAGGTGATTCCTTCATTTTGTGTCATTTCCTTTATTTTCTTAAAGCAACAGCATTAAAACATTCCTGCTGGCATTAAATTAATTTGTATTTCTTTTTCACTTTGTATCTCAAAGACCCCTATCTTGTATAGGTAAAACATGCATCTGTAGTTTCCTGATCCCCAAAGCTGCATTTGTCTTGGGACCCTGGTGGGGTGCGAGGGGGTGGGGGGCTGGATCAACTATACTCCCTTCCTAGTGTTTTATTGGTATGGAGCACATCCTATTTTGTTATGCACCCAACAATCAAGCTAACAAAACCCCATTGCCTGTTACTATTTTTATTTCCCTAATGTTTAGGGAAATTGCACGAATGGACTATGTTCCCAAGCTTTGCGTTGAGTCACTGTACCACTTGCCTACAACTAGCCCCGGTGTTTATTGTTTTTTAAAAGACAAAGAAAGCAATTTTTCTTCAGAAAGAAAACAGTTTCTCCTGCAACTTGCTTTACTTGGCAGAACCCATTGTTTAGCTACACGTTTACACTAAATGGGCAGGCTAGCTGTTTTGTCAGGTCAGAGAAGGGACCCCAAATCCATAACTGGCAATCATTGCTTCTATGGGTTTATAGATTTTTAGATAAATGATTCATCTGAAAGAACGAATTAGCAGGGATAAAGGAGCATTCACTAAACTGGTATTAGGGAGAAATATAACAAATACAATGCGGTAGTGCTCACCCTTCCTTTATTAACAAGATTCTAGAAAAGTGCCAACTTCTAGAGGTTGTTTGTCAATTACAATTTGAGTATGGCATTTCAGAAATTACTGCTTCTAAATTCAAGCTGAAATTCAGATGTTCTTTAGTAATGCTAGTTTATAATGGTTTTTCTCTTTGGAAGATATATTTTAAGAAAAAAATTATGTCTGCCTTCTCTAATTTCAGGGTAGGGGGCATCTGTTTCATAAGTATGCGCAAACTAAAATAGTTCTTGTTCAGAGACTAAGCTTTAAGGTAGTGCTCTGTTCTTCAACTTCTGCTTAAGATATTTGAATATTTATGGGAAGGGCATACCTAGCTACAATCCAGAGAGAAAGAGAGAGAGAAAGAGAGATCATGAGATTATGAGTCACTGAGTAAGGCCTGTGACTCTGCCTTATTAACAAACAAGCCTAGAGAGTCTGGTGCAGATGGGCAGGGGGAACCCTGTCTTAAAGGGACCATGGTCCTCCAACTCTCCTCTTCTGAGCACCAGGATGAGAAATGCAATTGCCAATCGAAATTCTCTTGTGACCCAATTTCTCATCACCCTCCACACAGTAGAAACTCAAGGATTTTCTTTTCATCCTTATAGGTCCCTTTATGTCATACTTTTTCTAAATAAAAATGTAGGGATTTTATTATAAACTTTGCCTCTCTTATCTTGCATTATACTTTGTATTCAACTTTTTAGAGAAAGTGACATCTCCTCTTTCGTGGTTGGCAATAGCAAACACAGGTGTGGGTCACATTACAAATGTGCCCCCTTTTCAGAAAGCACCAAATAACAATAGATTCACGGGAGTTGGTGGTCCTTACAAATGTGGACAGTAGCCTACTTCACGATGGATCATGTCAGCTTCTGGGACGGCCCTAGGAGTCAGACCTAAGTGCCACATCACCACTGGCCAGGTGGCGCACAGGTTCAATTTCAGTCCCCATTCCTCCTCTTAGTACAATTTCCTTATGCAGGGCCACCTGCAAATCAGTCCTGCAGTGTGTTCCCTTTTCTATACAGTCATCTAATTGAAGGATGGATACAGGTAAATTCTCTAAAATGAGAGAAGGAAACAGTTGTGTGTACTAGATATCATTGCTTCAAAGGATGTAAATATATTATAGGAAACCCTAACTTCAATCCCCTAACTTCAATAGAGAAAGCTCTATTTCTGTGGTTTTGTTCTAAAACAATTCCTTTTACTGGGAGCCTAGGGGAGTTTCCCTGCGTGCTCAGGCGCCTTGGAGAAGTTGCAATATGCCAGCCTGCTCAGCCAGCTACAGAGAGTAAAGGAGCAGTCCCAGGTGATCAATCAAGCAATGGCAGAACTAGCAACCATCCCCTATCTAGGGGACATCAGTCAAGAGGAGGCGGACTTGGTAAGTGTGTGTTTTTCTTTGTGTACGGCTTTCACGGGCCCTGAGTCAACAGAAAACATGGCATGGCTGGAAAGAAACTTGTCATCATAAATGTGGTCGGAGGCAAACTCCCCAACCCTCGTGAAGCATTCTGATGAAGAAAGCTGGGAGATGTAGAAAGGTAAGCGTGTCTTTATTTGATCTGTTCGGATTGACCAGCTTCCATGTTTTAACACCAAGAGTTGTGTGATGTGAAAAAATGTGGAGAAGGGCTGATCATTCGTAATGTGTGTCAGGCTTTTTATTTTAAGCAAGGTCAAGTTTTAATAAATTGCTTCTTAAACGCCAAGATATGTTAACATACGATTCTCTTCTATGGAAAACTGAAAGTACAAAAGAATAAGTGCTGTATAGAAAACCACCCCCTCAAAATAGTCTTGAGAGTTTTCTCATTCACTTGTAGTGCCTCATTACGTTGGCAGTGCCAACACACACACACACACACACACACACACATTTAGATAGCACGGTTATTTTATTGGAGCGGAACATATAGTTAGTCAGACGGCTGTGTTTTTAAACTGAATTGACCAGTTAACTCAGAAAATACAGAGCAGAGACCGTCAAAAACTACTTGGAGAAATAGCTCAAACAATCTTCAAACAAATTTGATTATTATAACCATAATTAATATTAGAAATGATAGCATCTGGTTTGAAAAACAATTAGTAAACAGTGTGCTGGCCATTCGAGGAAAGATGAGCCGTACTCTACATGGAGACCCTAAGGTTTGATAGGGAAGGGTTCTTTACATTGAGGCTTTAATTGAAGGTAGCTAGAACTAATCACGGACCTGAACTGAATCCACGTAGCAAGGATGAGAACAGTCCAAACTGATCAGCTGTAATTTTCTGATAACTAAAGGAATCCTCCCTCTATGAGTTTTTAAAGTTATAACAAATCGCTCTGGCTGGTTTGGCTCAGCAGTTAGAGCGTCGGCCCACAGACCAATGAGATCCGGGTTCAGTTCCGGCCAAGGGCGCTACCTCGGTAGTGGTTCATCCTCGGCCCTGGTCAGGGTCAGGTGGCAGGCAACCAGTCGATGTGTCTCTCTCTTGCATCGATGTCTCTCTCTCTCTCTCTCTCTCTCTCTCTCTCTCTCTCCTACTCTGTCTAAAGATAGATGAAAAAATATTCTCGGGTGAGGATTTTAAAAAAAGTTACAACAAATCAACCAAGAAATGAACAGCCAACATTTATAATGCTCATTTGAACCTGTATGAGTGTGTTAAATAAATATTGATACTCAAAGTAAGCGTGTAGCCCAGGGGTTTTGCTCAGTGGTTAGAGCGTCGGCCTGTGGTCTAGAGAGACCCAGGTTCGGTTCTCGCTAAGGGCGCGCAACTTGGTTGCAGTTTGTCCCCAGCCCTGGTTGGGTCGTGCAGGTGGCAGCCACTCTATGTGTACCTTTCATGTCGATGTTTTTCTCTCTCTCTTTCTCTCTTTCCTACCCACTCTATCTGAACAAAAAATGGGAAAATGTCCTTGGGTGAGGATAAAAAAAAAAAAAAAGTAAGCGTGTAAAGTGGTCTGACTGACCAAATAATAAAACCATGCTTTCTAAAGAGTAAAACTATAGGGAGCGGGGGAGAAGGCTACTAATCAGGGATTTGCCGAATCAAAACTAGCAGTCATACTTCCAAAGCCTCTGCAACCGCCTCCCGGAGGCTGGTTTCTCATACCATCCTCCAGCATCCGAGTGCAGTAGGTATGGAGCCTTCAGTGCATATTAGAGCCCATTTTAGATGATTAACACCCCTCGGAGACAGGAGGAAGCAAAGAAAATGTTAATTTAAGAAGCTGGCACAGTGTTGATCCTGTGTTTCTGAAACGCACTTGCAGGATTTGGGTGAAAAAGACAAGGGAGTTTTCTGCCCTGGGGTCTTCTTAACCACACATCTGCAGCTTCTTTTTCCTGGAAGTACTTACATTTCAAAATATATACAAAGAGGGACAAACGAGCGTGATTGACACCCCTTATGAACATTTGAGTGAAATATGCCACTATCTCAAACCTTGAAAAATAGGATTTCATGGGTTATTTTTATAATTTACATACCTACTAGGAAAAAAAAAACACATTTTAATATAAATGTAAACGCGTGTATATGTGGAGGCCCAATATGTAAAAGTCATGTATCTTGCAAGACATCATCACTGTAAATAATAGATTTTCATTTTCAACCTTGGAACATGGGTTAACCTAGACAATAAACCCTGGTAATACTTTTTATTTTTTCTTTTATTGATTTTAGAGAGAGAGGAAGAGAGAGGGAGAGAGAGATCAAAACATCGATTGGCCGCCTCCTGTATGCCCCCTAATGGGGATTTGGCCCACAGCCTGGGCATGTGTCCTGACCAGGAATCTAACCAGCGACCTCCTGGTGCATGGGTCAACACTCAACCACTGAGCCACACCAGCCAGACCCCTGGTGATTCCTTTTATGGTGCTATATAAACAGTGACTGCTCAGTAGAAGAGTTCTGAGGGACTCCTCGCTGCCCTCCTGCTTCAACTCTGCAATCCCCGAAGTTCCGAAAGATTATCTAAGGGCTCGCACTGTTTGAAGCCACAGTGAACTGAACTGGCATTTGTTCTTTTTCAGAGAACTTTCTTTTCAGCTTTGACTGTCACATGGCTTCGTGTGGCTTCACTGCTTTGCAGCTCTGTGCCCAGCACGTGCAAAGGACTGTTTCACAGTGGAACACGGTAGTTTTGGGCAAAGGGTGGAATTTTGAAAACTTGTCTTTGAATGGAACCTAAAAAGAATCGTTGGTTATTTTGACATTTTAGAGAGGAACAGAACAGTAAAAGGACTTAAGTGAGCTAGAGCCTTTAAGAGGCGATAAAAAAGCCCAGTTTTAGAATTGTCCTCTGGTGAGCTTTTGCATGATGCCTAAAATTATAATCTATCAGCCTCAGGAGAAAATACTAAAACGCACGCATGTACTACATGCCATTTCCTGAGAGAATGAACTACGGCCTTCATTCTTTACAACCCCAATCTGTTTCTACAAAACATCAACACTTCCTACATTAAAACCTATACGTTTTCTACAAATTTCCAAGAAGAACCTTTTCACTGTTTCAGTCTTTTACGCCTGCAATAATGCTCAGTAATGACTGAAGCAAAGAGGAGGTAGCGTGTTCATTGTCGGGAAGATGAGTAATAAAATCATCAGCGAACAAATGATTTTTTAATTAGGTTTTAATCTGTGTATTTAGAGAAGTTATTTCTGTGCGAATTGCACACTGATGGTTTTTATCTTGGTGCCGCAGCTGCAGTCACTGATGGCTGATGCCATGGACAGCCTTGAAGGGAGAGGGGGCGGCAGGGAACGCGTGTGGAACACCATCCAAAAGGTAAGACTCCCGCTGAAGGGAACAGGTGTATTACTCACAAAGAAGTGTGCATTTGGGGTCTCGTCTGTTTAGAAGATAAAAGGAAAGTTCTCCAGGTTGTTTTATTATTTGTTTTTAGAAATAAATGCAGCTCTCTCTCTCTCTCTCTGGAAGTGTGACCAAAATCAAATATGGATTTTTTTTAACCTGTTCCCTCAGGTCTGCTTCTTTCCCTGCAGACTGTGGTCATGTGCTTTTATGGGTCTTCTTTTCGTGCTCATTTTCATATTCTGTTTTTATCCACTGCTTCTTCATTATTGGTTAGTATAGTTTCTTAAAAAGCCCTTCCATCGGTGTTTTAGTCCATTTCCCAACTCTTTCCTCCATTTTTTGTCACTTAAAAAAAAAAGCTACATTTCACGAAACAACAGAGAAACTGGCACATTGATATTTTGTAGGAGGAATAACATGCCGGTGGTTAGAAGCAAGAACTGACCCGTCATTGGCTACTAGTGTTTAAATCAAGCAAACATCAGGATGTGCCTAGCCCCAGTGTTCAGAGACTTGTGTGATACCACGGGCCCTATGACAACATGGGTGTGAGTAACATTGAGTCACAAGTCCAGCTAAAGACAATAAATTCTGATCCATCTACTCCCCACTCGGCCTTTTCCAATCGCTGTGGGACCCACCAAGAGGACTGATGTCAGGAGCTGTGAGGTGCAACCAAAGAAGCCTGCCCTTTGAGAGGTGGCCGTCCGCCCTGAAGGAGTCGGTGCATCTGAGGACATGAGTGTCTTCCGAAGTCACTAAGGCCCTGTGATACATGTATGAGACAGAAGTCAACTGAGCTCAGCAAATATCTGTTGCTATTTACCACTCCAGAGAGAACAGCAGGCGTTAAAGACTTTGCGTTGAGCAAGACAAACACAGCCCCTGCCTGTATGGGCCTTACCATCAAGGAAAGAAGACAGTTAGGAAAGAGTTACTGACAAGGGTAATGAATATTAAAGTGAAAGGGGGATATTCAATGATCTATAGAAACAAACAGGGGAATGTAATTTGGTCTGGGAGGTCACTAAAGCCAAAAGTGATATTTATACAACATTAACGTCTATGTCATGATTGTCAGGTAAAAAGGGGAAGAGTTCCAAACAGAAGAAATGGCTTGTACCAGGGACGCAAGGAACACATGGCCAATTCAAAGACTGACAGGGGTGCAAGGAGCATATTTCAAAATGAAGCGCAGAGGCAGAAGTCAACTCACAGAAGGACTTCTAAATTTTGTGAGACATAATTTGTGTGTTTGAGACATCTCCAGGATGTAGCAGGAGAATAGACTGAGGGGCTACAGAAGTGTGGGGAGGTCAGTTATAAGGCGACATGATCTACGGAGGAGGACGCAGAGCTGGAGCAAAGCAGACGGATGTAAGAAATATTCAAGAAGCCAAATCAACAGGCCTTGTAGTTCACTGGTTGCACATGGGAATTCAGACAGCAGAAGAAATGAGAATGGTGCCCACATATTTGGCTGGAACCACTGGCCAGGGGATACAGAGGGGCCCACTGGTGCTATTTACTCAGGAAGGAAACACTGCTGGAAGAGCAGCTTTTGGCAGACAATCTAAACAACTTCAGAAACCATTTGGGAGACAGATTTTTTTTAAAGGAAATTTAATATAAAGAATGGTTAACTAGGTATGAAATTGTTAGCTAAAGGAAAAAGCAAAAGAGAACAATACTTTATCACAAAGGAAGCATTTAAAGGAAGCATCTACCACCCATGGGTGCTGGGAAATCAAAGAGAAGATGTTAGAATTACTGAAGCAGAAGCCCGGGGAAGGGACCCTGCTGGGCCAACACTCAGACTTCCCACTAGGAGGTGCTGCTTAGTATCTCTGAGCTTGGAGAGGGGTCCTGAAGGGCTGAGACCCCGGTTTCTGAGGAGGGGGCACTAACCCACTGGTGCTGGTGTAGAGGTGAGAGGGAAGAGGCGGTGGAAATGGAGGTAATTCTGCAACCTTTGGAAAAAACTAGATTCAACTGATACTACAGAAAGGAACCTGTTTCTAGAGGAAGGAACCATTGCTGAAGAGATGCTCACAGGAACCCCAGTGGACAGACAGTCAGCAGCAAGTGGACAAGAGGCAGCAAGCCCCTCCTTTCTCCTTTGGCTTTGCAGTGTGTCCCTCTGTTGCCTTATTGACGGAGACTAGGAGCGGGCAAAAGGGGAGAGTTTGCAGAGCGCCAGCCCCGGCATCGAAGAACTAACAACAGAAGGGTGGGTTTGGAGTTGGGAGAGTGGAGAAAATAACTGACACAAAAGCGTACTGACCTTACAGTGCCGGCAAGATACCCAAGAGGAAGACAAAGGCTGGGGGTCTGGATAAAAGACTGAATGGAGATAGAGTTCTTAGTCATTGCCAAGGTGCCGTTACCTGCCATCGTCTGAGTGGGCGACATGGCTGGGCAAGGGCACTGGAGAAGACGGGCTCTAGGAGCACGTTTCGATCTCGAGGGGAGAACCCTACAGATGAGACTAAGAAGCAGTGCCAAGAGGGAGTGGAGCTAGGGGTAAAGCAAATTCAGTTCTGATGGGAGCCAAGCGACATGATCAAAGATTTCTGCTGGCTACAGAGGTAACTGTTTAAAACAAATGTCAGCAAACTCCAGCCCGCAGGTCAGCATTGGCCAACCACCTATTTCTGTAAATCAGTTCTACCGCACACATGGATGCCATTCATGTACGTATCATCCCTGGCACCTTGGTCAAGCTCAGGAGTCACCACAAAGACTATATAGCTCACAAGGCCTAAAATCTGTACTACCTGTCCCTGTACAGAAAAAGTGCTATGCCTTGGTTTAGAACATTGCCCTTCACAGAAATATTTGCTTTTGTACAGTAATGTAATCGTATTTTTACCGTCTATCAATAACATTTGTACAGTGATATTTGTATTTATAAATCTAAGTGACAATAGAACAATCCAAATATGAAATTACAATGACCAGCCAAAAAGGTGAAAAACATTGACATTTATCTATTCCTGTCTGCATCTTGTAAATAATCACCAAATCCGCCTCATTTTCAGCTAGTTTTTGATACTTACATTCATAGAAGCACTGAGCCTGTGGCTTCCCACTTTGCACCTGTTTTAGTCCTTTATTACTGTGTTACAAATCACCCCAAATATATAGTGGTTTAGCAACAATTTGCTATTCTCTTGTGGTTCCTTAGATTGACCAGACTCAGCCAGGTAGTTCCTGCTCAGTGTCTCTCATGCAGTTCAATCACGTGGGGTCATTTCAAAGTTAAAATGGACTGGACTCCAGAATGGCTCACTCAGGTGCTGACAGTTGACATAGTCAGCTGAGACAGTTGACTGGAGTGCCCTAAGGTGGCCTCTCCACGTGACTTAGGCTGGGTTCCAAGAGGAAGTATTTCAAGACAAAGAAAACAGAAACTACCAATCAGACCTCTTAAAGACTAGGCCCAGAATTGACAGAGCAACTTTCACCTTATCTGTTGGTCAAAGCAGTCACAGGCAAGCCCAGATTCACAGGGTCGGAGGAACAGATTTCACTTCTCTGTGGAGGATCTGTACGTTCTGGGAGAGAAGGAAATGATAGTGTCTGTCTTGGAGACAAGCTCCAGCAGCAAAGCCATGACTCTGGGCTGGAAAACTTGCAAGCGCACAGGCATCAAGAGGATAGTCAAGTCAAAGCCACTGAGACTGGAAGGCTGCAGAGCCACTCTCCCCAACCATGGGTGTCTAGAAAGACTCACTGGTGAGCAGCCAGTCTTTCCAAATTAAAAGCCCTGGTAATGATCCTCGCTTTCTAATGGAGGCTCCTGAGAGGTCCTTAGGAAGATGTGAACGTGAAGGAACAGGGTGCCAAATTTTTCCCCAGGGCTTTTAATTTGGTTAATGTGACTCTACAAAGGATGATCCTATCACTTTCAGACAATTCCGGTAGCAAGTAAGTAATTTCCTTTTATTGCTACAGAGTTAATTTGCGTGCGCAGAAAAAAAAAATAATTAAAAAAAAAAAAAACTAATTGTACAAGCTACACTGTGTTCCGAGCCCACTAGAAGTTGATATCAGCATCACCACCTCTGAGATCTGTTATCTGTAATAGAAACAGCTGTTGCACCTAATGAAAACACTTGAAATTTTCATCGGAAGCAGCAGAATTATAGCAGCACCTCCTAGTTCCACATAGTTATGGGGGGACTGTCAGAACCCCCATTGCCTGACAGCTTTCAGAACTCCCCTTTGCTGTAGGTCCAGAAAAAGCCTATGAAGATGGAATCTGATCCCTGAGCACTGACCTCCTGTCTACGTTTTGTTTCCTTTGAGCTTTCATAAGAATCCAGAAGGAGAAAGTGTGAGACAATCATTTTGTCTTAATTCACTAGAACCAAAATACATTCTTTATAGAGTTCTCAGGATATTGGTTTTTGTTTTGGGTTGGCTTTACAGAGTACTGTGTTCCTTCTGGTAATTAACTCAAGAAAGATATACATATATTGGTTTAGCTGTGCATAGACAAAAATGAGCAGGTTATGTCAAAAAAAAAAAAGGTAAATTTTCTTGTATTGGCAAGTCCCATGCCACGGCAGAACTCTTTAGTTAAGGTTGTCACACTTTGTGCAGCCGGTGTGGCTCAGTGGTTGAGCAATGACCCATGCACCAAATGGGCATTGTTTCAGTTCCCGGTCAGGACACATGCCCAGGCTGTGGGCCTGATCCCCAGTGGGGCCATGCAGGAGACAGCCAATCAATGTTCTCTCTCATCGATCTTTCTACCTCTCCCTCTCATTTCCTCTCTCTCTAAAAAATCAATAGAGAAAATAAAAAGATTGTCACTCTTTGCTTCATTTTAGTCTATAACAAAAGTACCCTGAGAAAACACTCTTTTGAATATCTCACAGGTCCTATTAACACACCACTCATTCATGCATTCATCAAACATTTACCCAGCACCTCCTCTGGGTCAGACTATTACAAGCAGTGCC